TTTTTAATTTACTTTAATAAGCCTCTTTTTATATTATTGAATATTATTACTTGGATATATGATAGCAGAATTATAGATAATAAATATTTCTTTTCAAGATAATTAATTAGATATACATAATTTAAATTATTTATTGTATAAGGCATTTAATTCAACATAAGTTATAAAAAATTTACAAATTAACTTTCTTCCACTTTATTTATCTATCATCTTTTTTCAATATTCTTTCTTTTCAACTAAGATTTATTCTAATTGATATCCAATCACAATTAAATTTCTTAAAATTCCTTTATGTCTAAAAAATTTTTGCAATCTTTTCCAACACATATAAATTATTAACGATAATTAATCTATCCTTTATCAACTAATACTTTAACATATTCATAAGTTAAACAAACTAGAATATTTTCTGGTTTCAAATCATTATGAAATAGTCCACACAAACCTATTTAGAAAAGTTTCAACTATTAAAATAATTTATTTAATAACTGATTTGAATTGTTCAAAATTTGATCCTCTATTTTGTATCGAATGAGATATTCTTAATAAACTTACACATAATATTTCAAACCCTAATACATACTGTTATCCAAATGAACCTTTCTATAAAATACAGGTAATAATTGTACTATATTGATAAATTTTGATTTTTTTTATTAGCCTAAAGTATCTCAATTTCATTTAATTCAATTTTTTTAGTCATAATATAGCTTCTTAAAATCTAAAGTATGAACTTAATCACAAAAGAACCAAATTTTTATCATAATTTAGAAAATAATGATTTGATCATTGATTTTCAAAAACAATGGGGTATGGGATTTAACTGTTATTTGAGCTTTTATTTAATAAATTTGTTACCTCAGTCTCTTTAAATTTTATATATGTAATAATTAATCCTTTTAATAACCTTTCAAATAGAGGATCAGATCTTAAGAATATATTGAGCAACTATCCTAAAAAGGAAATGTAAATATCCAAAAATTCAATTTATTGTTAAATCTTTATCAACTAGGCTCAGCTGATTAATAATTGATAGATAAAATAAAGTAGAAGTTAAGAGTCGCCGATTAATTCAAATCATAGACAGTAAAACAAGCAAAAATTGTAAATGACTTACAAAATATGTTCGATAATAAATAAAGAAAAATTTTATTAAAATTCAACCATCAAAATTATCAAAACAGCATTAAAAACAATTGAAAAATATGGGGAAGTTTTATGTAAGGCTTTAGATCACTAACAATAAATTGAATCAGCAATTGAGGATTTTTTTTCATTTCTTTGATGATTAATACACTTAATCAAAATACACATTAAATGGATAATTATTAGATGTAATCACAAATGTAAATAAAAATTAATCCCTTTTCGATTTTCGATTGAAATTATACTAAGATTTGCAAACAATTAGTAACAAATCTCTAGGTTAAATGTGATAAAGTTGCCATCAGTCATAATTTTGAATAGATATTCACATATTTTTCATAATTTTCTGAGCATCTCAATGGGTATGATGAAATGACGATTTTAAAGATAGTTGCTGAAAATTAATTAAATATTATTAAGAATATCAGAAGTGGAAGACTTAAAGAATTAAAAAAAAAATGATTTTAATTTATAGCAATTAGCCAATTTCAATTTACAATAATAGAAAGAATAAATGATTGAATAATTAAGACTTTTATATAAGTTAATGGTAAAAGATCATAGATGGATTTGGATGTATATACTTTTTGATGTCCATTACTAGCTTCATTTCGATTCAAGAGAAATCTTTAGTTATTTTATTTTCTCAAAGACTTAAGTTTATACTAGTTTCAACTACTAATACTCAAATATACATTTAGTTTTATAATTTTTGATTAAGAATAACAAACAAACTGGCACTTGATTGATTATTCGCTTTAATTTTATAAAAAAAGAGATGAAGATTTTAGTTTATAAGGCTTTGAACTTTCAAAAAGAATCTATTACTTATAAGGATTTCTATTTTTCTAACGTATCAGAAACACATTCTTATGTAAAATTGATTATTAATTTAAGATATATTAATACTATAAATTTGACAACTTTTAAAAAAAAATAAATTTATAAAAATATAAATTTTCTGTTATTGGCTGATGAAAGACTAATTAAATTTTATATAAATTTTTAAACTTAATTATTATCGAAATGAATAACATTAACATTGAGAAACATGAGTATAATAAATTATTTCATTAGGGTAAAATGTTTTTTGCCCCTATAGCAAAACATGAAGAAAAATATTATACACCTATCGATATAAAAATTTCTAATTAAGAATAATATATAGCATTAATTTATTAAGTTTAACTTTCAATTCAATATTTGTAAATCTGGGATATTAGAAATACTGAAACTATATATAATAGTCGTTATAGTACATTCATGGATAGATAAATAAAAATTTAATTTTCTGGTAATGATGAAGTACTTGTAATAAATGATAGAGATAGATCAGAAAGATGTGCTTTAATTAAATTTTTTGAAATAAATACAAAGACTTGGAGTGAAGTAAGAATTATTGATTGGGAAGCTTTAACATCAAGCAAATTTGCTGTTAATTATAAAGGAGATAAATGCATTATTTTTTAATACGATTTTATAAATATCGTTCATAAGAAAAACACCGTTTAAGTTATAGAGAATAGAAGAGGTGCTCATATAATCATTTAATTCTCTATGTTTTAAGATACTTTTTACATATATTAAAAAGGAAAAATAGAATTAGAGCATTATAGGTGTTTAAAGGAAAAAGAAATCAAATTAATATCTACCCATTGTAAATTCCATAAAATAAACTCAATACTTGAAATAGGTTAAAGAAGATAGCTATTAGTTCATTGCCATGGAAGATTTAAAGAAGAATATATATATTTAATGAATCTACCAAAATTTGGAATTATTAGATAAATATCGATTCAATAGGGTCTACAAAATTATCTATCCAGCTCATCTATAATTTTATCAATAAATTGTAACCCAAAAGATTAATTTGATTATCTTCTAAATTATTAAGAGACCTATTAAGAAATAAAATCAAAT